CGGAGCTGAGATGAGAAGTGCAAATGGAAATGTGTTACACATGCCAGAATTAAACATTGTTTTACCTCGCCAATAAATAACCAATAATTTTTTGTAAAAAAAAGTTGTCTAGGTATTATGTGTCTCCCCAGCACTCAGCGTTACAAGATAGTGGCCTCAGTGATAATGGTTCACTGACGCGGATTCTATGCTGTACCCACAGTGTCGGAGCAGCCCAAGCAGACCCAGATCCCCACGGACTGTGACAAACAAAAAGCCAAGGACAACGGCCACGGCATCTGCAAAGGGTTCCACTTCTGCCCTGACGCGGCCCTGCAGGAGGGTAACTTCCCAACCCCAAACGGAGAAGATTAAAACCTCGGCCAACGCCCCTGACAGGCCAGGTCTCAATTATCAGCGCGCCCTTGTCCCTCGTACCACTGCCTGGGAGAGGCAGAAAAGAGTGGCCAACGATGGCCAAGTCTCCCAAAAATAAGTGAAAGCGCATTTCAATACGTGTCGACATTGCGGCTAATCCCAAAACACACTGTTGGTTGTTCATTATCTTGTATGTTCTGGTGTGGCCTCAGCAGGTGTTACCAGGCGCAGTGTCGTGCTGCCGACTACAGGGTACCGTTTGAGAGGGAGGGGGATATACTCCGAGCAGTTTGTCGCCGCGTCCACCAGCAGTCGGCACCTTTCGTCCTGAAGAGAGACACTTGCATTCAGGGTTTGGTGTTTGTATATTTGTTCATGAACAGTTCGTGAACAATGTTTGTTTGTTTGTTTATTTGATAGTTTACGAATTTTGGCATTCAAGGTCATATGTTCACCAACGATTCTCTGTTCACGAACAGTTCGTGAACGTTCGTGAACGTTCATGAACAAGTCATCATTTCTGATATCTTTCGAGCAATTGTTATCATACGGTGCAGACATGACTGCAGGCATGTTTTACATGCGAAAAATGCACCAGTCATATCTCAAGCACAGGGAATCGTGATTCATAATTATTCTTGCAACGCTGAGGCTTAAATTGTGCATTTCAGACCTTGCATGACGTCATATGTATAAGACGCCAATAAGGTTGTTAGGTGCAGTAGGAGCTTTTCGCTAATAACTTCCGATCAAATTGAGCTAGCGAGTCGGTTGAGCCTTCAATGGACTCAGAAAGAACTGCCAAATCGATTGATATGCAGCATGACATCCTTCATGGAGCTTTGTGACCCGAGGGGCTTTGACCTGGCCTTGACCTGAGGTCAACATCCTAAAAAGACCTAATCCAAACAAAAAGTATATCATTCGAAGCGCCTGGCCACGACGAGCACGATGGTGCCACAATCGCGGCTCTGCCACTATTTGTGGAGAAGTATTTACCAAAAACCAAACCCATACTTTGTGACACTTCACCTGACCTCAGGGGTCATCGGTTGGTGTAAGACCTTGAAATCGGATGCCAATCGCTGTGGTTCGTACTGACGCACACGCTGGCTTTTTCCGCAAGGTTCTATCTCAATTAGGAGCGAAATGGCTAAGGAGGGGGTCTTATCTACCCCCTCTTTACCGTGTTCGCGAACAGTTCATGAACGTTCGCGAACTGTTCGTTGTTTGTTTACCAAAATTTGACCGATGACGCCACTTGTTCACGAACACATTTGTTCGTGAACAGTTTGTTTATGTTTGTTTATTTGAAAAATTAAACAAACACCAAACCCTGCTTGCATTTATTGCGGAAAGATGCAGCTTTTGGTGCGTGACTAAACCAACTGCCTGTCCTATTTAGGCTAGGAGCATTTTCAGTGATTGACCATAACTAAGTGTCTATCCCGGTGTTATGTGTAAATAAACTGTTTTTGTAAATAATTAATGTAAATAAATTCTTACTTTTCAGTGTTGTTATTTTGTGTTTTACCATAACTAAGTGTCTATCCCGGTGTTTTGTGTTAATAAACTGTTTTTTGTAAATAATTAATGTAAATAAATTCGTACTTTTCAGTGTTGTTTTTTGATGGAATGGTAATGACTTGCTACAATGGTGACATTTGCGAACCATACGACGCGTGTCGACGAGAGACACGATAGTGGAGGAAGAAAGAAAATAGGGTGTGCGCAATGTCCGCTGACACTTCTCATGAAAAAAACGTAACGTTTACCAGAATTAGCCAGAAACGCTAAGGTTTTATGCTGCACTGCTGACAACCATTTAACCCGCGCGGGGCTGGGGTCTCCAGCCGAACGAGCGGGGCTGGGGGAACCCCCCCCCCCTCTGTTATCTCCCGAACTAATGGTCCGATTTGGAAAATTCAAACGCCAATCGAAAGATCTCATCACGAACAACTAAAAACATGTGGTTAATTTAAAGTTTGAGGTCAAGGTCAGGTCAAGGGTACAAATTGCAAGTTTCTACAGTATCGGCCTTGCGCCGTAGTTGCCGAAGAATGGAGTCATGGACTGAGACTGATTGCCCAAAACGTGTTGTTAGGCTACCAAGACAATATTCCTTGCATACAATATCATTCAGAGGTCAACGTCAAGGCCAGGTCAGGTCAGGTCACCAAAAACAAAATATAGAAAAGGGCATGTGCGACACATGTTTTATGGGTCATTTTATCGGCCTAAAAAGGTGTCAGTGTGAAGCAGTTTTTCACGGCGAATCGAATGGTGCTATTTTTGTTTCCGTACGAGGTCTAGAACTTCCAAAAAATTCATTTTTCAAAAAATTTGTTTGTCGTGACGTCATAAAATTTTGAATAACTCCCACATTTTTGAACCGATTCTTCTAAAAATTGGTATGTAGGTGCACATGGACCACTTCTCTGACATATATTCCGGTTTTTTTCGATACACGCAAAATTTTGGATTTTATAATTATTTTCCCAAAAAAGTCAGTTTTTTTAAATGGGCCAAAATCAAAAATTTCAAAAAAAACGAGATAGCCATTTAATAGACGAAGTAGAATCACGTATAATCTTTTTTGTTACGTCCTGATTCCCTTAAAAATGAAGATGCTAGCGGCGTTTGAAATTTTGCCGTTTTTGAGGCGAAAATGGCGAACATGACGTCACTAAAACGTCATTTTCTCAAAAAATTTCTGAAGGATTTCGCTCAAATTCTCAGTGAACGTGTCAAATTGATGTAAGAAAAGGTACTGAAAGTCTGGCGGCGCCATAGACCCGGGAACAGGGGGGGGGGGGCAGCGGGGGCGCTTGCCCCCCAACTTGGGAGCCGAGGGGGCGGCGCCCCCTCAACATTGAGGCAGCGAGAAAAGATCTTTCCTCCCTTTTCCGGACTTCTTTCCTTCTTGTTTCCTTTATACATCTACACATCAACACACGGCATTTTCCTTGCCATCTGAATGGTTTCTGCTGATACAGTATCGATTTGACAACATCTGCTATTGTCATCCCGCTTTGATTTGGGCCTGACCTTGGCCGTAAGTTTGGCAGGCCAGATTTTATACTGCACCAGCTTGAGTCAACTTTGAGAAATCATAACGTACAACGGTGGTAAAATCGTTGCTATAGGTATAACACAGTTTACCCGCTCCGGGTGTGATGGACGGGTGTGGGGCAATGAGTGCACTGACGTGACGCCCTCGGAGGGCCGGTATGGGATTAAAGCTCGGCGACACTAAGGGCTTGTGTCATGTGTGGTGCCTTCGGTTATCGGTAGCACCCTCAGAATCACCGGCGTAGGGCCCTCAGAGCCGCCGGTAAGGGGCCTTTAGAGGCACCGGTGTGGGGCCGCCATGCAGGTGCCGGTGTGGGCGCTCAGAGGTGCTAGTGTGATTCTCTCAGAGGCGCCGATGAGGGTCCTTACAGGCGTTGCTGTGGGCCCTCTTAGACGCTGGTGTGGAGCCGTTACAGACGGGTGTGGGACCTTTAGAGCTGCTGACGCGAACTCTCTACAAGCCGGCAGGGGGTCTCAGTGACCGACAAGGGGTCCTTAGGCCGGCAGAAGAAGTCCTGTGGGGTCCTTAGAGACCGGCATGGTACTGTCAGACGCCGGTGGGGCCCTCAGAGTCACCGGTGTGGGGCCCTCAAAAGTCACAAGTGGGTGGCCTTTAGATGCGCAGGTGTTGGTTGGGTCCTCAGAGCCGCCGATGGGCTTTAATAGGCACTGGTGTAGGCACTCAGAGTTGGGGGTGTGAAACCCTCAGAGACACCGGTGTGGGCCCTCATAGGCGCCGACGAGGGCCCCACAGTTGCCGTTATGGGGCCCTCAGAAAAATAAGTGTGGGACCATCACAGGCGAGAAATGCCCCTAGAACTGGCCCCTCATAGGCCGGTAAGACCTCTCAGAGGCCAGTAACGGGCCTTTGGAGACCACCGAGGTGCCCTTAAAAGCCGCAAGAGGCCCTCAGAAGCCGGCGTGGGGCCCTTATGGAGATCTTAGTGTGGATATTTAGGGCCCATGAGGTGCTCTAACGAGCCCCATGGGGCCCTTCTGAGTAGAAATATGGCCATCGTTAACCCTCAGCGGTCAAATGGCGCCGCAGGGCCCCTCGGACCCGAGGGTGTCTTTTATCCCGATGGGGGGGGGGGGGGTACGTGTCCCCTTAGACCCCTAGCTACGCCACTGTTTCATATGCATCATGTCAGGCATTTTAGGCTCGCCCCCCCAACTTGAAAATCGTTCCCGGGCCCCTGGGCGGCGCTGCGCGCCGCCGTTTTTGAGATATTGCAAAAATTCGCGAGGGGGATAAAATTTACCCCCCAGCCCCGCGCGGGTTAAGCATGCTTGAGTCCAAACAGATCACCACAGCCTCGGATACATTTGCTCATGCCGATTCTAGTCGCACGGTCAGCAGTGGGAAGCTGAAAGGAATTCCTTGCCTCAAGGTCCTGCTGAAATATTTCCCGCCCCGGATTATTTTAAATGGATTGTAACGGTTTAAGATTGACGGGGATCGGCTTGCCGATTTTTCAAGTAAACTGTAAATTATATTGAACATCTATCATATTTTCTGCACTTCCATTTCCAATGCAAAGATTTTCCTCGACTTCATGGAAAAAGTGAAATATTCTGTCGTAATGTATTGATGATGTGTTTTTAAACATACTTCACAACATTCATTTGATAACCGACAGCTATCCATATAGTTCTTTCTACATCACATATAATCGATAGCATTTGGAACGGACGTTACCGTCCCTCAAACATAAGCATTTTATTTTAGGATAGTTTGATGGTCGCGTAGACGCTGGTCTGTTGGTGGGTCCAGAATAAGATGAACAACATCCAGTTTCCGCCAAACTGAAGGGAGGCGCTGTGCTTTCAGGATGATTATGCAGGCGTCGGGTTCAGCAAGTTTTTAAAATACATTGGAGCAAGATGAAAACTACTTCACCGAGTCGCACCATGCATTCATTGGTTAACGTTAACAAATCAAGCATAACTGTATCGATGACTAACCATTCGCACAGCTGACACACTGAGACATAAACGCACTGAGAGTTAGCGGCTGTCGGTTCCACGGATTTACCAGATCAGAGCCAAACACTGACGTTTGTTAGCGTTTCTGATGTCATCCCACCACGGCCGTGGGTACTGGGTAGTTCCAGCACAGTGTCTGCGGAACCGTCATGACAACATCGCCATGCTCAAGCCATCTCCTTGTTTTTCTCCTAAAACTGCTTTGGATGATGTTGGTACGCCCCTCAAAACCTTTCTACTGTGTTGGTCTCCTTTTTGTTGGCGGCCTCCCACGCCTCGCGGGTCGGGTGGCGGTTCCACCACTGCTCCTCCGCCGAGCCGAATATGATGAATACCAGCGCGCCCACCGCCTGGATGCCGGCCGTCATGCCGAACACGATGCGCCAGTGCTCTTCGTCCTCGTTACCTGCAGAACGCACAACGGCTGGTCACTGGTCATATCAGTTAGCTTTGATACATGGGAGCGACCGTGGATATAGGACAACTGCACAACAATGAAGTATGCAGTACACGCGAAACTCAACATATATAATAAAAAGATTCCTATAGATATATGATCCTTTTTAACTGTATTTGTTTTGATTCGCACGCCAAGCCGTCCCTGGGCCACGTGTTCTCGGGTGCGACGGAGCTTTTTCATTATAAAAGCTTCCGCTCACTTGCAATAGCATTTTGTCGACGAACCTGTGACGATGGCGCCGGTGACGAGGGGCGCCAGGATGCCGGCCAGCGTCATGACCGTGTTGCTGACGCCCATCATGCTACCGGCAAAGTTGGGCGCCAAGTCCAGGTAGTTGGTGAGCAGCGACGAGGCGATGAGGCCGACCAGCGCCACGGCCACGCACAGCAGAGCCACCACGGTGACGTGGTCGCAGCCGGCGAACGATGCGACTACCATGAACACGCCAGAGAACACCAGACCTGCGGACAGCGGGAGGGGAGACGTTGGACCGACGGGCACGGGCTAGTGGGCATTGTCAGCTAGCCTGGCGGATACAGGCAGGTGGGCAGTGCTGCCAAGACGCATACATGCAGATTGCAGATCACATATTTGTACGAGACTGTCAATGCATACAAGGAGATAAGCGTAAGTGCCAACGCCACAGATGCCACATAAACCAGCAGCACCACTATGTATGTATGTATGTATGTATGTATGTATGTATTAGTGGTGTCAATCGGAACTTGAATCTTCGGAATTCCGATATTGTCCAATGTCCAATTCGGAATTCGGTTGGACAATGGCAGCAGGCTTTGGACAACTTTGGACAATCGCTTGCTACACCTCAACATCTTTAAAAAGTAGTCGTGTTTTACATTGATCGGCTATTAGAAAGCTCAGCTTTCGATATGATTAACACTTTTGAGCTTGTAACGGTACATGAAAAGCAAATTAAATAACAGTGTTGCGTGTAAACTATTGCGTAGTTGTCGGACATCTTTGGACAAATGGCTGGCTTGGACATTTTTGGACGGACAATCGACGTAAGCATTGGACATTGGACGGACTTTGGACATACGTTTCTGAAATTGACACCACTGGTATGTATGTATGTGTTACAATCATGGACAATCCCTACGGGGCGTGGCGATTACAGTCCACTAGATCAGCGGGTACCAAATAGTATCGACAAAAAGAGGCCGCATCACCATCGCCACATCAGATCACCGCTCTGCCGTGCAAAGTAAAAAACAATGCAACACAAAAACGCGTAAGTCACTTGACTTACGTCAAAATCGTTGCCTTTTGCTTAGTCGGTCGGAATATGTCCAATAAAAACACGTGTGTCGTTACTTCCGTTCTTTGAACAATGAGACCCTTGCCTGGTGTTGTGACTTAAGCAAAGAAAAAAAAACACGTATATCACATATGCGTTTTATTGCTGCATGAATTCGCAGCGAAAGTGCATTTCAGCAAAGGAAAACAACGTATGTCATACTACCTGGTCCACCAATACCAATATACATATATTCCAGTTGCCAATAGACGGTTGGTGAAGCGGCGGTTCGAGTAGGTGAGGTGTCAGGGGTGGGATGCCAGTGCGGGTTTGCCAGGGTCTCTATTTGACCAGTCTAGGATTTTGGGAGGGGTCGGACAGCGTTGTGCTGAAGGCCGTGTCAGAAGGAGAAGTAGTAGCCCCTCTAGGTGAGCCACGTGGTAGGCCCGCCAGCCAATGAGGTATCCGAGGATAAAATCCGCAAGCACGTCATGGGCTTTCATCCAGTACCGCACCACTACCGCTACCAGCATGCTCCGCACCGCCTGTACCTGCCAACCGACGTGACTGTACAGCTAATGTTCGATGACTGTATGCTGGCTGCTCGTCGGACCAATAATTTGACTTTCGTAATGTAGCCTAATGCATAAAGGTGTGCGTTTTAGGGTTGGACATCCCCCAAACATGCGACCGTAGTGGAGCCCCTGAAAGTGATCAGCACACGCTGCAAAGCTGTCACAGCTATTATGCAACATGACCATCCACGATCACTCCCCGTAATGCCTGCTATGCCAACGAAACAGTCGAGCGTGCCTGCTTTGCCGGGAACATTTATTTGATGTGCATATGGTTATTGCGCTCTTGATAGCCCTGAACTCCTTCCGTTTTTAGAACTCCAACTGCCGCAGACCGCTGCTCCAGAGCGGTTCTTTTAGATCGGGTTGGATGCCACATTTCGAATGGGGAGATGTCACTGCGGACTTCGAATGCAAGGCTTTATTAAGCGGAGTACGTGGATTTATTAAGCGGATTTATTTACTATGGGTATCTATGGAGAAAATCCGTTAACAGGTCAAGTGGCCACAATAAGCGGCTGAATTTATTATCCAAGGATTTATTAAGCGAATTCCACTGTATGTAGCAATTGTTATGCTCACGTGCAGCACGTGGCTGAAGCGCACGGTGCAATTATCACTGAGCCGGCGGCCCGGCGCGATACACGGCCGATGGGTGTGCGTGCTGTGACGCACACCACGCACACCTCCAGATGGCCTCAGAGGCCAGACGGCGGTGCCGGGAGGACGCAGAGCGGGAGTGCAGAGAGGAGATCGTTGCCACTGGCGACATAATGCGCATCATTATGCTACCCATCCTTCCCTTGAAGGAGTGGATATTTACTCCTCGCTTAATAGCTTACAACGAAACGTTCGTGATCGCGATGCCCCAGGACAAAGACCGGAAACGCAAGCGGCGCACCCTCCACCGCCAGCATAACCGCTGTGTGCTCTGGCACGAGGGGGTGTCGTCGGGAAGGTCAGCCGAGGCCGTGGCCGCCACCTTTCCAATATATCTGCAAACCGGGTGTCGGGACGTGGCGAAGGTGACATTGTGGTTGGACAACTGCTCCGCACAGAACAAAAACTGGCCACTGCTGACAACGCTGCTTCACGCTGTCAACGCACAGGAAACTATGTGACTAGATGAGGACCATTCATCGAAAGGGTCACATCGTATGACCGTTACCATGGTAACCATTTGTTATGAATGCGAGAGTTTTGAAGAATCAGTCTCTCGCTTGCCAGCATTGAATAAACACCTTTGTAGATTAAGTGTTTGATAAATGCTGCTCAGCTAATGAAGTTTGTCACGCTATTTTTTCTTCTTTTTTTGAGTCAGGACACAGGGCCATGGCTGCCGATGCAGTGCATCGCACAGTGGCACAAAACCTAAAAGAGGCGATGTGATGGACTTCACTGATTATGTCAGCGTTGAAGAAGCAGCGAACGTCGAGGTTAAACTCATGGACGGCACAAACATGCCCGCAGTGACGGACGGCATCAGCCGCAGCCGTCTGGCCACGCTCAGCAAGGCCGGTGAGCGTCCCTACCTGTCAGACGCTCACCTTATCCAGGTGCGCCGAGGTTCGCGACTAGTACTTAAAACCTCTTTCAGCTCCCCCACTTATGACCTATGCATTATGAAAGGCACAGATAACAGTAGTACTGGATTGGAAACAGGATTCCGGTGGCTGCAGTAAGGGGCCGAAAACAGAACAGAATATTTCGTGCCCATACTTCGATATCTCCTCTCACAGGCAACAAAAAATATTGGTTTATGTGAATGAAACTTATAAAGAAGCAATTTAGCCGTGCTCGTGTTTATTGTTGCATTTTTGCATAATGGCAACTTATTTTACTAAACGTTGCTGGTTACACTTTCCTCACCGTGGTGAGGGAACGTATGCCACTGATTTATTTGATTATAATGATTTCTCACTCTCATCCACAAAAAGTAGGGTGAATTCGTATAAGAGTACGCACTTAGTGGATTTCTTGCTCTCATTCGTTTCACATTTGAGAGAAAGAAATCGCAAACATGGAATATCAAAGCTCATTAAATTAGCCATCGACCCATGAGTCGACGATCCTTCAGCTTAAATGGAAGTGGTCTAAAACTGACGTTTTCTGAACCGCTGCTGTTGCGTACTCTTACCATATGGGGTGTATAAGAGTACGCACGCCGGGCGGGTGGAGTACGCAGGCAGATGCCTATGCAGCTTGTACCGTCCAAATGCTTAACACGAAACTCAGAAGACATAAGTTCGGGTACGCATCTGCAACACAGCGCTCCAGATTGATGAGATACCTACAAAACAAACGGCATTGAGCGAGGGGGCAACTATATGCCCCCCTGCAGCGGCTGGCGGGTGGCGCGGAGGCCTAGCGGCCGCCGGGTTAAAAAGTGTTAATACATATTTGAAAACGTATCGGGATTCGGATGCTTACGAGTTGTTTGGTAGATTAAAGGAAAGTTTCATTAATACAATTTGCGTGTTTTTCCAATTTACATAATTGTATTTAAAGTCCTCTATAATTTTGGTCGTGTTTAGGGAAGGCCTTGGCCTAGTAGCCCCCCCCCCCTTGATCCGCCAGTGCATATAAATTGTGAGTGACGCAAGTGAATCGCTACCAACGAGGCAATCATTCGAATTGAAACGAAATACAAGAACGATTACACAACGTTGCTTTATTATAACACTGCCCTTAGGCTCGTGAAGTACAAGCAAATAAGTGAGAACTTTGAACAAAACTGGTTAAACAACGACACTCTATGCGGGCACGTTATGCTTTAGATTCGTCGCTCTCCGACGCGTTAATCTGCATCGGATGCGCAGTTGCAGCACTCAAAGTACTTGGTGCACTGGGCACACTCACGATGTGCGTAGAGACCACATGAAATGCATTGGACCTTCTTTCCCCCTGCCTCATGAAATGCGAAACCACATACAAGACATGGGCACACGTCGTCGTCACTGTCGTTGCTCTTATTCCTTTTAGCTCGAGTCACCCTCTGAGACCTCCTTCTTACCGATGGCGTTGCCTTTGACGGTGTTCGAGATTTCTTGTCGGTGGCCTCTTTGACAGCGATCATATAAGGAGACAAGGTCATAATCTCAGACTTCTTCCCTACCCTCCGTCTTTTCTGCGGGTGAGTGGCCTTTGGAATCCGGTAAATGTCTGGCGGCGAAACACCGCTTGGACCAGGAAGTCCCTCATCTACACTGCCTGTAACAGGACGCCTCTGGTCTTCTCTATCTGCAGTACGACGTCCACGTTCTTCACTGCCTCCATCGGGACGTGCATCACCTTCAGGGTTTGCGGCAGGACATCCACGTTCTTCAGAGCCTGTGACAGGGCAGACGTCATCTTCAGATTCTGCGGGAGGGCGCCCATGGTTCTCGAGGTCTGCAGCAGGGCGTCCTTCTTCGTCACCGTTACTTGCTGCAACGGCTCTGTCTGTCACAGCCGATGGTGCAAAGTCTTCCGGTCCAAATCGCTCAGGGTTGAAGGGGATCACGCCGGTCGCTTCGAATGCTCTTTCTGCCTTTTGGACCGAAGCAACTCTGCCGTATGCTGCACGGAAGAGTCCAGCCACATTGTACATGGTGATGCAGCGCCCGGGATGTTCCACCATCCATTTGTCGCACTCAAGGGCATACGCCGACTTGAGTGGGCCGAAAAAACCCACATCCAGTGGCTGTAGTCGATGGCTTCCATGTGGCGGCAGGGTCAGGAGAATTATTCTGTTCTCCCGCGCGAACTCGATGGCTTTCAGCGTGCAGTGGCTCACGTGATTGTCCAAAATCAGCAGTGTCGGATCGTCTTTCGTGGACTTCACGTGCCGTTGAAAGTGTTGGAGCCATTCTGCGAAAAGCTCCCCGTTGATGAATCCCGTGTCGGAGATCATCGGCAGCGTTCCCACCGGCGCATCATCGAATAGCTCTGCCTTCATCCTCTTTCGAGGGAATATCAGTGCTGGAGGTATACATGCACCGGAAGCTCCCATGCAGCAAACAGCTGTCACGAGCTGTCCCCTCTCCCCAGAACTGACCTTCCCCACTGTTTTTTCCCCTTCTGTGTGCATACCTTGGGCAATCTGTTGGGGACGGTGGAAAGTCCAGTTTCGTCGACGTTGTATATGCGGTGCTTTGGGATCTGCTTGGTCTTCAGACACTCTTCTAGGTTCTTGAAGTATCTGTCGACTTGCACTTTGTTAAAGCCAATCGCTCTTCCCAGGCTGACGTTTTCTGGCACTCGGAATGTCAGCTTGCGACGCTTGCAGAAGCCTCTAAGCCACTCCTTCCCAGCACATTTTGTCACGTGGCTAAAACGATGCGATATACCATTTTGCTCAGCGTACTGGTATGCCAGTTGCATGAGATCTTTCCGCTTTATCCCATAAAACATTTCATCGAGTGCGCGGCAGTGTGCAGCCAGTTCTTCTTCCTGGGCATCACTGAATACCGGACCATATCGCCCAAGAGACTTTGGAACAGTTCCCAAACGCAAGCGTTTCCGCAAGGTTGCTTCATGCACTCCCATGGACTTTGCGATCGATCGCTTACTTTCTCCGCCCTCTACCCTCCTTTTGGCATCTTCAAGAAGTTCTTCAGAGAAAGTCAGCTTCCGACTTGACTTCCGGGGAGTCCCCATGGCAGCAGCTGAAAGAAAGGTAAGTTTGCATTGAAGCATATGCTGTACAGACTATCGAAACTTATCGAAACTTAAGAAGTACAAACCTCAACCTGTCCTGACATCATTCCTCTCTCCACGCCATGGTGGGGGAGGGCCATTCCTATTTTTACATTGGGCCTTTTTTACGTATAACGCTATGAAGCATGGTTGTCCTTTAACCCGCGCCCCGCTGGAGGTCCTGAATTTCCACGCCCTGCTGGGGGAGGTGTTTGAACACCCCCTTCTAACTCGGCTCCTGGGCCACGTAGCGATAGTGGAAAGGTGGCCTTCGAAAGAGCGTCAAAAATAAGAAAGAAATTACAATTCATTTTTTGGTCAGGTTGTTTAAGGTTAGGTCACCAGAGGTCATTGCAGGCAAAAATTCGCCGATTTCCAGGTCAGATTCGGTCAATTTTCAACAAATCGACGCACTGCTCGTGAACTTATAGAGCTACAGCGCCGCGGAATATCGCATTGGATAGCCCTACGTATTAGTGCTCTTTCAAAGTTGACCTACCGTCAACGGTATTGCCTGCAGGGGCAAGCCCAAAACTGCCGAAATAGACGTTTTTTTTCGGAAAGTTCTTTTTTCTGCAATGATTTTGACTCCAACCTCTCATGAACTCTCTTTTATTGGCATCGTGTTCCTCTTGTCAAGACACATCGAACGAGCTATCATTTGAACTTGAAACGTCAACTTTTTTTAAAGGAAAATTTGAGCGAAATCCGTCGGATTTTTTTTTTTTTGAGAAAATGACGTTTTAGGGAAGTCCAGGGCCTCGTTTCATAAAGCGAGTCCGTAACTTACGGTGGTTTTTGGTCTTGTATTGCAAATGCATGTGAAGCGATGACGTTAGTTTAAATCGTTGAATTTATTCATCTTGCAAGCAAGAACAGAAGGCAGAAGGGTAAATAAATTTATCGCTTGAAATGCACTTGCAATACAAGACCAAAAAATGCCGTAAGTTACGGACTCGCTTTATAAAACGAGGCCCAGTTCGCCATTATCGCCTCAAAAACGGCAAAATTTCAAACGCCGCTAACATCTTCATTTTTAAAGGAATCAAGACGTAACAAAAAAAGTTGTACGTGATTCTACTTTGTCTATCAAATGGCTACCTATCTCGGTTTTTTGAAAATTTTGGATTTTGGACCAATTTTTTTTCTTCAAAAAACTGACTTTTTGGGAAAATAATTATAAAATCCAAAATTTTGAGTGTATCGAAAAAAAACGGAACACATGTCGGAGAAGTGGTCTATGTGCACCTACATACCAATTTTTAGAAGAATCGGTTCAAAAATGTGGGAGTTACTCAAAATTGTATGACGTCACGACACACACATTTTTTTGACAAATGATTTTTTGGAACTTCTAGACCTCGTGCTAGTCGCCATCGAGAAGGCTCTGTGTTTTATCAAGGTGTCGGACGGCCTTTCTTACTTGATTTTATCGGACTCCCTAAGTAGCCTTTTGGCGTTACGGAGTTTTAATCCAGTTGACCCGATCGTTCAAGACATTTTAGCTCGACTTCAGTCAGTGGAACAATCGGGAAAATTTGTTCAGTTCTGCTGGATTCCCAGCCACGTCGGCATACACGGCAACGAGCTGGCAGATGCGGCCGCGAGGCGCGCGGCCGCAGCCTCCTGCACTCGACGTCTGCCATTGCCGGCGCGTGACCTTTATTCGGCTGTGCGATCTTTCATTCTCTCTGAGTGGCAGGCAGAGTGGAGCCTACGTGGAGGCGGAAAGCTCCGTGAGGTGAAGCCGACTTTGGAGCCATGGAGGTCTTGCTTGCAAGACAACCGGTCCAACGAGGTGATCTTGTGCAGGCTCCGAATCGGCCATACATATGCCACGCATGGCCACCTCCTCCGCGGAGACGAGCAGGCCATTTGCAACGGTTGTTCCGCGCCTCTTACCGTCGCTCACGTGCTCTTATCTTGTCCACTTTTAGAACCAGACCGGACGCGCTACCTCGGCCGCATCGCTCCGGGCACCACTGTCCGCCACCTGCTGGGTGACGAGTCACCCTGGGTTTTATCTGGCAACATCTTTTCCTTTATCCGTGCAGTCAAATTCCAAGCGATTTACTCGACCTGACCCAAATCCTCTCTAGTCTCCTTGTCTAGTCAGTTGTCTATTACGACGCTCTTGCGTTGTTTTATTTTACCCTGTCTTTTTTATAAAGTCTTTTACTTTCTAGTCTTGATATCTAGAAAGTTTCTTTTTTTTGAAACACTTGGTTTACTAGCGCGACGTTATGGGCGCAAAATGACCTTTGCAGTCGACGCGCCCGAAAGCCCCAATAAACAAACAAACAAACCTCGAACGGAAACAAAAATAGCACCATTCGATTTGCCGTGAAAAACTGCATCAAACAGACACCTTTTTAGGCCTTAACAACCAACCTCAAAATTTGACCTCACTTGACCTGACCTTGACCTGACCTCGACCTGAAATTCATCCAGAGGTGGTCCATATCACTTATTGAGTGTGCCTATTGAATTCTATGAATAAAATGACCCATAAAACAAGTGTCGCACATGCCCTTTTCTATATTTTGTTTTTGGTGACCTGACCTGACCTGACCTGACCTTGACCTTGACCTTGACCTTGACCTTTGAATGATATTGTATGCAACGAATATTGTCTTGGTAGTCTAAGAACACGTTTTGGGCAATCAGTCTCAGTCCATTCTTCGGCAACTACGGTGCACGGCTGATACTGTAGAAACTTGCATTTTGTACCCTTGACCTGACCTTGACCTGACCTCTGACCTACTTAAGCAAAAAAAAATGGGCTCTTAAGATCTGCCTTGTTGAGAGCTTTCGATTGCCGTTTTTCCCGTCTTTCTACGACCATCGGTTCGGAAGTTAGACAGGGGGCAGAATCTGCCCCCCCCCCCCCCCCAGCAGGGCGCGTATGGCTGAATAGCCCAGCGGGGCGCAGGATAACTTTGAAGTATTAACATTAGCGCTATGGCGTTACTTTGTAAAATAATTTCCAAAATTATACATAAAAGTAACAATAGGTAGGCCCAATAGGTATGTATCTAGGCCCTAACAATAGGTAGGTATATTTCATAAAGTGACGCCATGTTATGAAGTTGATATTCTATTTTTCGTTAACAGGAGCAATGTCAAAAGTAGCCATTCCACTGCTCCCACAAAGCCATAGGGGCATTAACACAAATTATATTGTTCAATGACAAAAAACGTCATGTCAAATAAATGAGAAGCAAAATAATTAACGTGCCCGTGAATTTTGATTCACGAAAACTAAAGGTAGGGTAAGAGTACGCAATCCAATGCTGCGTACTCTTACCTCCATGATCAATGCGTACTCTTACCCTACATGCGTTTTGCACATAGAACAGCCCCAAAACATCGTGCGGAACTTCACAAACGGAATATTGCACTGCACAGTACTTTCAAGACAACCTCACAAGTTTCACACAACAATCACGAAAATGTACCTTATCTCAACTACCAATTATCATAATTATTGTAACATAGCAAAATAACTATCAATACCCTACAAAATAATATTCCTCACCTTAAATTGAACAGCGTCGCCGCAGCACGTCCCTCTTTCTTTGGTGACAAATACGCACTGCCGGCTTCCTGTTGCATCATGAATTCGACAAGCCGGCGTTGCTAGGCAACGAAAACAGCTGATGCGTACTCTTATCGCCCGCGTACTCTTACCCGCCCTTACCCTACTTGTACATGGGAGTTTGATCTCTTTATTTACATACATGCTAATCGACACCAGTCCTGTCACAACGAACCATCCAAACGTCACGATTCAAACCAACGTCACAAAACACCCCTTAAGTGCCACTTCGCTTCGCCTGCCCTCTCAATTTCATCAGCGACCTTACTTCCCCGCCTTACATCTTCTTGACTCTGCTGAGCTTTGGCCTCTTGTCGCTCCTCGATCGGGTTGCACCAGTGGCTGGGGTGTCTGCTTCCTGACTTTCGATGGACAGCCTGTCTTGAGTGTCTGCTTCACTTATCAGTTACCATGTTTCCACACTTTCCAGCAAATAGATTGAAAACCGTCGCATACATCTTTGGAAGGAGGCTCCTGAGGACGTCGTAGCTATCATTGCAAACGACTTCCGGTCAATTCGACATCCCGGTTTACGACTATCTTCGTCACTTCTGCGTCACTTCTTGGTTGATCGCAGACCAGCAGCTGGTTCCTGTTAGCTTCCGTCTTCGGCAGTTGCCTCCAAATATGGCAGATCCTCACGGTGAGGTCGATGTCTTCCTCGTCTTTTTCCAGTCGTACGTACCTCCAGCGGCGTAGCCCCATGATAGATCAGCAGGCTGGCGGAGGCACCGTAC